TGTAGTTGGATATCCACCGATGGAGCACCAAAACATATCCAGCCACATTTGCCTGTATTGAACTGAAGTTTCCAAGCAGCAAACCATGCGGATATTATATCGAGCTCCCTTTGTATTGGTGCCAGATGGTTCTCTTCGGCGATCAATTTATAGGAAGCCTGCTTGAAATGGACAATATTTGAATTTCCACAGTTGGATGCCTCTCAGCAGAAAAAGGAATTTCACCCATTCTTTATCTCCAAGACTATTGACGAAGAATTAGATAAACTACGGAAGATTCTCGTGCAAAATGGAAACCCATCCAGATTTATCGATAAGAACTTGAAAGTAAATCAGAATACGGAGAGAGTACTTACAGTTCCTAAGAAAACCTTGTTTATGAGCGTTGTTTTCCAAGGCGATACGGCAGCAGAGATCCTGAAGAATAGGTTGTCCAGACCTCTGAAGAAGACATTCCTCTCTGCAAGACTGCGGATCAGCTTCTCTAATCAACAACTCATTCCGGAGTGCGTTAGGGACAAGTTACCACTTTGGGCCATCTCGATGTGTATCTACAAACTTACTTGCTCCCGTGGAGCTGGTTATATAGGCAGCACAAAGCGCAAGCTTTCCAAACCTATCTCGGAGCGCTGTCCTGCACGGCTGTCGGGGGAGAATGTAAATCATTTAACAGTTCGATTCTTGAACATTTGGTCAACTCTGGACATAAAGCTAGACCGGAATCTTCCTTCAGTGTCATTTATCGTGTCAGATGGAACTGTTCAAAAGGAGTACGCCTTCGACAGTTGTACACAGCGGAGGCACTGGCAATTCATCAATTCAAGCTTGATTTCTGCGTGCAAAAGAAGTATGTTCAATCTCTCATCTTAACACTTTCATTTTTCGATTTCATTATGATTAATTAGTTTATAATTATCGCCTTCATTATGACCCTTGTCTCATTCTTCACCTTCTTTACACCTATCTTTCAAGTGAACGCTCAATATTTGCGTTTCTTATCTACCAACAATTTTCGCCTTATCAGACTCCTCGCCTTCCTCGATATTTCTACTGTCTTAGATTGTCGCACAACTACTTTGCATTCTTGATTCGGTTTTTCGTAGCACTTGGTCAGTGGTGTAATTACGCCCTATTGCTTCATAATGGACTGTTATATGTTTGTGATATATATAAATACGACTGTACAGCTTTAGAAAATGATATCATCAAAAAGAAAATTTTCCTCGCTGAATTGTCTCTTCTCCATAAATTAAGTTAACTGAATAAATCTCTGGCTTGCCTCTTAGGATGCTTAGGGTGTTTTAAGTTCTGTTTTAACGAGCACGCATCCGATCAGGCCTGGACGCCATTTTGCGCTCCATTGTGCTGGTTACCACGCGCGTACTCCGAGTCCCTAGTTCATCCTTACAAGCCAGATAAGTTAACTAAACTTTTCTCTCATTCATTATTATTACATTTACTTTCATTAAATACATAGCTCCTTCAAATACATTGCGTATCAGTTCTTTTGACTTGTGTTCTGTTATCAATGCTTACACATTAAGTAAAGTACTGGTTAAACAGGTAGTAGAGCACATCAAGTTAAGTAGGGTTGATCAAACGTCACGGAATTGTAGCACACATCCCCACAGTGTCATTTTTTACGTTAGGAGTTGCTTAACTGTTAAAGGTATAGAAACAGTTGCACATGAAAGTGGGACATGTCAAATGCTGTGCTGCCGACTAAAATGCAAGGGGCAAGATGTTAACGTAATCATGATATATCGAAGCCCTGAATGTGAAGCGGCAGACTTCCTCCCGAATAAGTCGACCCTTTGTATAGATAAATGCCGATGTCTAGTTGTAGGAGATTTCAACGCACCATCAGTTGACTGGGATAGACTAACAAGAAACGCACCATGAATTTCGTTTGACCACCGGCTAGTGGAAACATCGATTTCCGCAGCTCTCAAACAGCACATTGGGACACCAACCAGACATGATCACCAGCATGCTCCATCAGTTCTGGACTTTGTAGTCTCATACACAGATGATGTGTGCTTCATACGGCACATAGCCTCCCTTGGAAAAAGTGATCACGCTGTGATTATCTTTAGGTTCACAGCAGACTTCTTGTACCAGGCCGATGCCCCAGCTAGACCCAACATACGGATAGCAAATATGGAAGCTGTTAACCTGGAAGTTTTTTCGGAGGACTGGACAGTCAATCCAGAAGCCTCAGTTGAAGTTGCATGGTGCTCCTTCAAACAGTTATATGCACGAGTGACCCAACCACTCACTTCGTGGACTGTCTCGAGAGGACAGAAACATCATCCTCCGTCGATAAACCACGAAATTCGAACCTTGCTACGACGTAAGAAAGGGTGTTGGAATCTTGCTACCTACCTCGGTACACACGAAGCGGTGAAGCATTACAAAGAGGCTCGCAATAAATGTTTTGCTGCTATCCGCCGGTCTCGAATATGCTTTGAAACACGTCTTGCCCAGGCTGCATTGCAACATCCGAAGAGGTTATTTTCCCAAATAAACTGTAGAAATAGGACGTGTCGTGGTATACCTGCCATAATCAATGGGACAGAAGATGACTGTTTGATTGAGGACGGTAGGGAAAAAGCAGAAGCCACGGCTGGATATTTTGCTGAGGTCTTCAAAAAGGAGTCCTCTGACGACAGTTATTCAACAGTACAAGCATTGATATCCAACAGAATAAACTCTGTGAATGTTGATCGTGATGATGTACTTCGGACATTAAGTACTCTCGGTGTGGAAAAATCAACGGGACTGGGTGAGCTGCACCTAAGGCTGCTCAGTGAGCTTGCATTCTATGTAGCCGGCCCATTGACTACTATATTCAGGCTGTCTCAGTGAAGGCACACCCCCTACGACTGGAAGGATGCCATAGTAACATCTATCCACGAAGCAGGTTCTGGGCAGCTCCTATCAAATTACAGACTGATAGGTTTGACTAGTACTGTAGTGAAAATCCTAGAAAGAGTAATTCAGAAAGCCATCATAGTCCACCTAGAGAGCAACACTCTATTGTCTCGTTCACAGCACGGTTTTCGTAGACATTTCTCTTGATTGACAAACCTTTTTACAGCCAGAGCAAGTTGGGTTAAGTCTTAGGATGATAGGATACCGGTAGATGTCATTTTTATTGATTTCAGTAGGGCGTTCGACAAAGTACCTCATTCCAGGTTGCTCGGAAGACTGGGAAGTTTTGGAATCACCGGTAGTTTTCTTGCATGGATAAGAGACTTTCTTGTTGGTAGGAGACAAAGAGTTAGGATCAATCCTCAACTCTCCACTTGGAAGTCTGTAGAGAGTGGAGTGCCACATGGCACAGTCCTGGGTCCCCTACTGCTTCTCCTATACGTGAATGAGCTACCAAATATCACGAAATCCCCCATGGCTGTCTACGCTGGTGATGTAAAATCCGGCCGGAAAATAGGAACAATGAGGATATGCGTGCGCTCCAGGCAGACCTGAACAGCTTGTTTACCTGGTCAGAGAAGTGGCTGATACCTATCAATGCAGGTAAATGTGCGAGCATGCGCTTGAGGCACACGCAGCAACACCTACGATATTTATGGGACTCCTTTACCTTCAGTACTGACCTGCAACGACCTAGGAGTCACGGTTAGTTACGGCTTGAAAACCACGGCTCACTGTCGATTGGCAGCAGCTCGGAGCCTTAGGACTCTTTGGGCATTACGTGGGACGTTTACGAAAATAAGTGGAGACATGTTCACCATCTTATACACATCCTTAGTTAGGTCTAAACTAGAAAACTGTACGCAGGCGGCCAATCCTTGTCTGAAAGAGTTCAGAGGACAGCCACCCGTATGATCCCTGTGATGGCCTGCCTCACCTATGAAGACCGACTTAAGGAACTGAACCTTTTCACCTTGTCCTACCGTAGACAGAGGGGAGACCTAATCATGCTATACAGGATTCTGAGAAACGACTTTGGACCTGATCTACCTTCTCTTTTCCTTCCCAGTGTGCCGGAACACCTCACAGGACGTAGTAGGAGACTACAAAAGCAACGAAAGAACATGATCTGCGAAGAGTACTGGTTCTCGCATCAAGTAATCAACGACTGGAACCGATTCCCAGAAGAAGTAGTGTCCGCATCATCAATTGACTCGTTCAAGGGGGGATTGGGCAAGCACAGAAATCTACTAGAGAAGGGTTAATGTAGGCTCCCAGCCTCCTGTCCTCAAAAAACAAATATGAATCCAAATGGCTAAAACCAAACTCAAAACATCCAAGGCATCCAAAGGCAAGCTAGAGGTTTATTTAGTTAATTTAATCTATTTGTTTTAGCCGTAGTAGTATTTCGGTGCCAGAAACGTGCACTACAAGGTGATGCGAACGGATTTCAATGCTTCCAAACTGCTGTTGGAATATGCCGATATCTTTCAGCTGTTTGTCTTTGCGGACGATGTTAGGAATCGCTTGTGCACTATGTTCACTGCTTTAGAACCAACGCAGATGGCTCCAACTCAAAAACTCTGAGTATTATAGGCAACTAATCTGCACTCAGCATGTGAAACAAGATCCGGATTTTCAACACCAACGTCAAGCCAGTGCTTCTGTATGGTCCAGAGACTTGGCGCGTTACGAAAGCGATTTCCAGCAAACTACAGACATTCATCAACAATCGCTTACGCTCGCTACTGAAGATCAGATGGCCAGAAAGAATAAGCAACAAGGAACTCTGGAACGAACTAACCAAGAACCCATCACCCAACAAATATGCACTGGAAGGAAGTGGAGAAGGATTGGGCATATACTGAGAAGGCCGAGTGGAAAATCAAGCAACAAATAATAATAATCTGTCGTAGACATCGGTAGTGGCCAAATGGGAAACCTTTTAAGTACAGAGAAACAGGCACGGTGTGGAAAAATTCCTAGCATAACGAAAATATTTTTCTCTTCGAATTGCAATTTTGGTTTCGGGTGCTGAAAAAGTATATTGAACGTCACCCTATCGCGTAAGGTTTGCGTCGGGCGTTGCATTTAGAAGTGTTGTTTGTTTTTTATATGTTCGCTGACTAGCCATTATTCAGTGCGCCAGTAACACTCATTCTATCTACTAGCGTCTGAAACTACTGAGCTGTTTATATCAATCTAACTTTCTGCTTGTCTTTGACATTGTTTCAAAGATTGCAGGCTGAATTCGCTTTGCAATGATGAAAGCGAGATTTACCCCTTGAATTAAGCTATTTTGTGATTTCATCTCAGTTTCCAATCTTTCCTAGATTCAAGATTAGGTTTTGTGGAGTCAAGTTTAAGGTAACGTTTGGATAAGTTGCGTTTATCGATATATATGAGGAATGTATCTCTAAACATTTCATTTAGTATAAAGAGCGATGAGTGTTTGATCACTTATTCCAAAAGACCTCATCCTACTAATATGCCCGGCACCGGGGTGTTTGATGCAATACCAATTCTGTTTCCTTATAAGAATTTGGACAGCTAATAGTTCAAATGGTTGGACATGTAAAAAGCCGAAAACTTATTGGAGCACTTCAGTAATATGTTTTTGGTAAACACTGATACACAGATGTTAAGTAAATTTCACGTATATGATCTCTTTACTCTTTTTTTTATCTCGGGTGGTAAAGTGGTGCATACGTCCCAGGGTAGGACTAAACTTTAGTGATAAGAAGCCTCAAGAACTACTGATTAGGTTGTAGGTGCTATATTCAAGGCCATTCCCTTAATTCCACCCACTATATCGATGTTGTGTAAGCTGTTGATGAATTATGGCATATTTCATGTTGTCAGCCATTTGCAGAGAGTTAAATTGATTGCGATAGGTCTAAATTGTGAATTTGGTATCGCAATTAACTGTGTACCTAACATTGATAAAACATATGGTTTACTCTTCCATTGTTCCGGCTGTTACAAGAAAAAATCTTTGGGGAGGGTACCGTTTATCATAGAGTCATTTAACTCTAACAAACAGTGATTTTAGGACTACACTGGAACACCTGTAATATCGACAGGAGCTGTTTGAGGTTTCAGTAAAGTTTCTTCAGTGCAGTGGTATCAGCGCTGCAGCGATGTTTTCTTGAAAATAATATGCATTTTAGATGTGAGTTTTTGAGTAGGTAATTTGGTAAAAATAGATGAATGTCTTGTTGGCAAAAGTAAATTTAGCCGGGACAGATGACAATCTGGGCTGGGTAGGTTACATACATAGGTATTGACAGATCGCAGATTTTTGGTGTATACGATCAAAATACGAATAAAGGACATTTTCTATGGATAACGAAAGCGTCAGCAGAATCTGTCCAACCAGTTTTTGAAAAATGGGGAGTTGAGTACGGGAGTATATACAGATGATTGAATATCTTACGTATCGCCGTCTGAGACTGGTTATCCCTATTAAGTTGTTCACTAGAAGCACTTCGTTGATCTAAGAAATGGGTTGCACATACACAAAGTTGGAAAATATGGAGTCGTCTTTGAAAGTTTTTATGACCTGGTCACGAAAGACAATATAGTCTCATATAGATGAGTGGCAATATAGACAATTGTATGGTTTCAAGGATGACAAACCTATTGAAAACCCAGATATCTGTACTTCGTAAAACATTTACTAATTGTAAGTAAAATATCATTTGTCTCAATGAATACTTTGTTCTTCATACACTCGATTCTGATTGTACCTACTCAAACGTGATTAACCATCAGTAAAACTAAGTTCTACCGATTACAGGATAACCTGAAGCCTAATAAGTCTCCCGGTCTTGGAGGTGTGCACCTTAAGATGTTTCTGACTATGGCTGACATTATGCATGAACCAGTCACAAAAATATTTAATGAATGTATCCCAGGTTTGGTTACATAAAGAATCGAAAGGTGCTCCATTTTCGAGGATGATAGTAGGCAACTAGCTGCAAACTTTCACCCTGTCAGCTTGACCTGTATAGTCGTGAAAGTTCCGAAGAAAATAATTAAGGACAAATTACTAGATCATGTTGAAACAAAGCTAACTGACACAGGTGAAACATGGCTTCCGATCCTGTCTAACGAACTTACTTTTATCCATTAAAGAATTGGTTGAAGCAGAAGATAACGAACTGTTTGTTGGTATGGTGTTTATTAATTTTACTGATGCATTTGATAATATGTTCAACTGTGACTTGCTGCAAAAGTCTGCGGATTTCGTTATAAACGTCATCATACAAGAGTAGTTTAGGACTATCTGAATAATAGAAGCTGACGAGTCAGAGTATTATTATCTGAGTGGAGACAAGATACTAGTAGGGTTTCCGAGGGCACCGTACGACGATTTCTTTCGTTTCTTCTGTATACATAGATTATCAGGTGCGCTTAAGTCATCCTCTTTATTTGGAGGGTTGTTAATCACAATAAAGATAAGCTAGCACTTTTGACCAGAATCGAGGAACTGACCGAAATGTTTAAAGGTTGGGGTGTGGGAAGCAACTCCAGTAAAAGCGTAGTAGTCAGGACTCTTACTACCCTTGCTCAATAGGTGGGTCAATATTCTCTTGTGTTAGGGAACAGACGCCGTACTGGAGCTGGATAACAGCAAGCTCGAGAAACCAGAAAGGTTTCAGACCTAGACGAGAGTGCACTGATCATATTTTCACCCTCCGGCAGGCCTAGCTACCGGCGGCCGGCACTCGCTATATTTGCTGGTCGAAAGCCGGCATTTGACTCTGTGAAGCGTAAAGAGTTGTGGTAGTGTCTGACTGTGAAAGAAGTACGGGGCAAGTATATGACGCTAATCAAAGCTCTATGCTCGAACTCACGCATCTCTGTTAGAGCTTATGGAGGGTTATCATCAGAATTGACGACAACTATGGGTGTCCTCCAGGCATGTGCACTATCATCGTTCCTACTTACTTTCGTCATCAAAATCAACATAGGATCAGGCATTACTGCGTAACGGTCCAGGTTCTCACACCTCATATCAGCACATCAAGTAACAAGGCGATAAAATGGAAAGGGAGGAAATGCGATCAAAAGAGGTAGAAAGTAGTAAAAGAGAGAAAGGAGAAATGAGAAAGTGTGATTAAGTGTAGAGGTTAAGATGAAGACAATGTGTGCATACATCTGCGCCACTGACATCGGTTCTGAGCTATATCACTTAGAGTCGCCAACCCCTAGTTTATCTCGTCCCATGGACCCCAGGAAGCTAGTCTGCATCGCCTGACATTGCCCAAACGAACAGTCAAGAACTTTATGCATTGGTGCCATGTTTTAGTCTAGGCGTCCCGAGCCTTTTCCCACCCCGAACCTACTTCGGCCAACATTGTGCGACGAGGCAGATGTTGGCTATGCACACGTAATACATGTCTCAGCCGATGAAGGTTCACAACCTCATCAACTGACATTCCTTTTTTACCTTAAACTCCATACCTGACTTCTAGGTTACTGACGTCATGGCATTATGACACGCTGTTTGTGCTGTGAAGGTAATGATGGCCAAACACCTGAAGATTTCTCATATCATCTTCGTTTAATGGTAAGAAATTGCTAACTAGTGTCAAACGTACTAGGTAGTGTATGGGAATCAAAAGTAGTCCCATCAGACTTTTCTATACGAAGAGGGAGACGTTTTCCTTTGACAACCTTCGGGAAATTAATTTGACTAAAATCGTGTCCAAGATCTTGGGATCCATAGGTATACAATGCCTAACCGAAGCAAAACAACCAAAGTTTAGGAAAGAGACAAGTTGTAGACCTGGACAAGAGGATGTCAGTTAGTCTTTCATCAGTCGACAGGTGTTAGAAAACAGATATATATGGGTGGCCCATACTTGTCAGATTTCCCAACGTTTTGCGGTTTCCAACTTTGTCGATCTTGAGGTGTTGTGTTAGTGTCTGATAGTGAAGAGATTACCAAGCAATTATATTATACAAGTCGAGATTCCTTACTCGAACCTCTGCAACCGTGTAGTGGCCTATAAGGATTTATTGGTTCAGGTAGTGACATCCATTGGTGTCCGCCAAGAATGACCTCTGTCACCATCCATGTTTTACTTTGCCATGGATGTGCTAATTGACATAACCCTAGGTACCTCTAACTAATACTCTGCAGAAAACGTTTAGTTGACTTGAAGTTTGGAAACAGAATGGTTGTGTTAGATGGAGACCCAGGCGAAACACGGTTTTCTGGACGTATTGAGCAGCAATTTTAGTATTTTTGGCATGTATCTCGCAAGTGTAAAATGTTGTTTCAATATTAATCTGCAGCTACTTCCAGTTTAAGGATGGTTAGTGAAGTGATAGAATGCGTAGACCACTTGACTTATTTAAAGAGGTTGCATCAACCTGAATGGGTCGGTTGTCGAAGAAATGTGATCTTGAATACAAAAGTCATGTTTGGCATTTGCAGACTTGAATCATTCTTGGCACCGACTGGCGAGATATCCGACGGCCTATTAAAGGAGGAGTATAGTATACTGTAGTCCATTCTGTACAAATTTATGGCTATGCGTGGTAGGCTTTGATAGTGAATGTGGAGAAGTTACAGGTTCCTGACTACCGATGTTTTCGTAGCGCTTCTCATATGTGGTGAAATCACTACAAAGGAGATGGTAAGGTAGGGGAGGAGCAATATGTCGGGTAGACAAGTTAATTAATGAGGTTGCTAAACTTAAACATGTGCTCCACAGGCCGATGCGTCGTCTACCTCGATCCGAGTTCTTAACTTAAGTAGGATTTGGTTGGAACAAGAAGGTCAATGGTAGTCAGACCAAGACTTGAAGACTTTGTCTAATGATCTGAGCCATGTAGGTATTAGAGGTTTCCTGACTGGGGTTCCTAAGACGATAAGAATCAATCCTTGAAGACTCTTGGTGATATATCTGATGATCAACCACAATGGCGTAGTTGTTCACGCCCTCTTTCGCCTTCAAGTTTTTGAACACTTTGTTGACGCTTATCTATTTCTTCTCGTAAAAGTTCGGCTACCTCAAAAGGATTTTTTCCACTGACTTCCTGCATGCGGTTGTAAAGTCTGGCCACTTAAACGGATGCACATCTGTTCCAGTTCTATTCGTGTATCGTTCTTATGAAGCCATATTTATTTTGTGACTCAGTAGCCTGAAGAGTTAGTGAATATAACCTAAGTCAAAGGTGGTAGTTATTATGAACAGTTATAAATGTGGTAAGAGCTTCTTTAGTGTATGCGACGTTTCTCTTTCTGATCCTTCTATAGTTCTCTCTAAACCAGTGAGCTACAGATCCACACAAAAAGAGGTAATGCATCATGATACTGCAGTCAACTTTGAACAATGTTGTCAACAGTTGTCTTTCAGTGATTGTCGTCGATAATTGTTCGCTTTACAAAAATTGACAAAAGTTTCTCATTAATTTTTTTCTTTTAAAGTTTAGGATTTCATAAAGCACTATACTTCTGTCATGTTGAGAATATGTCGTTGGTTGACGAAATGCAAGTTATTGGGAACTGACTTAGCACCTAGATTTTATTGTGATAAAAGGCGCTGGCTATTCAATGAATGTGATCTATGCGAGATGTTCGTTCGAGGATGGGGCCCTGGCGGTCAGTCAATTAATACAACAGCGAATTGTGTTGTTTTAAAACACAATCCTACAGGTATTGTAGTCAAATGCCAGGTATTTATTTAAAAAATTGATTGAAAATAGTTCATTTCCGAATTTTTTGAAGTAAATACGCTTCTCACCTAACTTTTCCCTTTTTTTCTGCTGAGATGGAAAGTTCAAATAGCCTCACATTGGTTAACTGGCAAAGTTTATAGTCTACATATAAAGATATACTGGGTTCTGATTGTAAGAAATGAAAATCTGGGCCGCGGCAGGATTCGAACCCATGACCTCCGGATTTCTGGCCTGGTGCTCTACCAACTGAGCTACGAGACCCAGATGCATTTCAGATCTTGATTTCACTTCAATCATCAAGGGTTTTACCCGATGATCATGTGGATTCACTATGTGTTACTATCTGTTTATTGTATTCACACTGGTTGCCCAGCCAGAACTTCTCACTCCAATCCAAATCATCTGGAATGAGGAGCTCAAATAGTCAAACTAATGATAAGAAATTATGCCTACGTTTAGCCTAACCAATAGTGCTCAATAGCCAAACATCTTTTGTCCTGTGTAAGAACATTGATGCATCCTTAAATCCATGGATAATATATTGTAAGCATTTTGAGCATTATAATAGACAATGTCACTGAAGCAAAAATCTAAGTGTTAACACTATCAAGCTTCTGTAGTCAACTTCGTAGCTAACAGTAGGACCTAGGACACGCTTTTCGTCCTACTTGGGAAGCGTCAGCTAGATGTATCTCCAGCACAAAGAATGACGTTGTTCTTACTAATACCCGAACGTAATAACCATCGTTTCAAACTCCAGAGCGTTATCCACTAGGTCACTTGAGCATAAGAGCCACCTATTGTGCAATGGGTATCAGTTATTGATTCATACTTGTGATTTCCCGTTACGTTTACTGGGTCGAATTGCTCGACCTTTGTTAGCCGATGGACTCCTGTGTGGATTCCCTAATACTGTCCTGATATTCATTGTTTTTTAGTCTATTTGGTGGTGATCAGTGGAACTCAGGACATGTGTTTCGTCCGATTTAGGACTCGCCAGTTGGACGTACCTACACCCATGAGACTGCTGTTGTTCTCACTAAAACTCCAGTAGCCTGTTAGTGGATGACGCTTTCGTGTTTGAAACTATGGGCAATAGGTTCGAGTAAATATGAGACTGTTTAGACAACACACTTCGCAGAATAGTAACTCAGTCGTTTAACAAGTTTGAGTATATTTTCAGGAAAGAAACTATTTCTAGACACGAATCGATTCAAACCGACTAAATCGTGTAATATTAAGTAACTAACTAACTGTTGGTTGAAGAAAACTCAACAACTATTCAACTGTTGTGTAATAAGTCTTCCATAGACTCGGAATTGATGGAGAGCTAACTGACTGTTGGTTGATAACTGAAATTATATGATGCAGTTCGACCGGGTAATAAATCCCCGCAGAACTAAAATTACCAACTGGTTGTGTATGTAGTCTGAATGATAGGAAAGTGACCCACAAACTTATTATCAATGTGTAGTATTTATCTTTAATATCATTAAGAACTGCCACTGATTTTGTACAAAAAAATTCAGCTCAAAATAGTATGACTATGATATACAGTTCCAACTGGTTCTGATTATTATTTTTATATATTGAAGTAGTGAATAGTATGGCACAAGCATTCGTTTTAAAGAATCTACTTCTGAATCGAGTGGAATGACATCAACATACTCGTTTTCATAGCAGACAATCATCTGCTTTACAAATCATTTCCATCAGGACCATAGTGTCCGGGTATAGCACTTACTTTTAAACTCACATAAGTAAACATCTTGTATTCAACATTCATACTTAGCAAGGTACATAAGTTCCTTCTTTCTACAGGTATATTGCACTTCCTATGGATTCTGGATTAGACTTTCTTGACAAGATCGATAGAAGTAATAGGAATAATTTAAGACTTGAAATAAGTTTCATTCAGCTTAAACTGTAGAAGAGAATCCGGAGGTTTTATTTCACACCAATAGATCAGAGAATTCCGGTGCATTCTACAGTTATTTCCACCAACTTTCAACAATGTAAGGAGTCTAAGAATATCAAACGGTTATTTTATCTTGTGTTTTAAAATGTATAATCATTTTTAGACCATGAGACATATCTAATGACATGTAGCAGTTCATGAGTAACCAACTTCATGTCGTTTAATCCTAAGTGGTGATCGAATTCTACCGGTCATTTTGCAATGTTGCGCACCAAGCTAGGAGACACGATGTGGCGATGCATTGGCATAGATGTTAGTTGAATAGAGGCAATCTGTAGGATGCCTTAGACGTAGATTTCTGGCTTTTCGGCACTCGCAAGGAGCAAGGTGTATCTGCAACTTCGACGGAACTGATGTTCCGCCTGAGATTCGATCTCATGTCAACCAATATTGCAGTTGGACATGTTACCACTGGAATATTCAACCCTATATTATTGAATTTCAGTTCCACTCACCAGTATACATCTTAATCTTTTTTCTGATAAAAGTCTACCACTCAATTTATGTATTACTTTATGGTTTTTTCATGTTGTAAAAATTCACCGTAAGAAATATACCAGTAACTCATATAGTTTTTGACGAGTGTAGAAACAGCTATTCAAGGTGTTCAACATGATGATTCAAATGGTTTGTGATGCAAAACTCCTCATGCGAAGAATTAATATCATTTATGATTTTTCAAACGATCAGCAATGCTGCTCACTGAAGTCGAGCCTCAAATATCAACATCAAAGTGTACTGTTTAAAAGTTGGAGAATAGGATAAATTGGTTAGTTTTACAATAGTAATTCGATATAAAAAACACTTACTGGTTAGCAAATCACAACTATTCAAAGAAAACTTGTAATATATATATATATATATATATATATATATATATATATATATATATATATATCAAGCAGAGAGCCAGTTCGGGATGGAGTATAAATTTGCTCTCCAAGTTGGTGAACGTCAACTGCAGGATTTATTCATCTTTTGTTAATATCTAATTATCTTATATGTACAAAGGACTTCTTTAACTGTTTTATAGGACAGTAGGGAGTTAGAACGAAATCGTGAATTGTCTCGTCGTAGACTACATGACAAATTGGATATACTTTTCAATGGAAAGGATAGCAAAACTGAACAAATTCGTCAGAGAAAAAAATCAAAGGAACTGCAACGTTATTTAAAGTCTAAAAAACGTCTTGCTGCAAAATCGGCCTTTAAAGAGCGTGAAGGTCTCTCAAATAAATTGTCAAATAATAATGATGGTGATAATAATAGTAACGCATCCGGTGGCCAAGAAAACATTTGATTGCTTATTTAATCATAGATTCGCACTTCTTTTTCTCACGTCTTGTCTTCGTACCTTCTACATAGTCAAGTATTTTTAACAATTAAGTGCATCATTAATGACCTTTTCGTCCTGTATTATATATATATATATATATATATATATATATATATATATATATATATATATATATATACTTCCTGTAGTAAACTGTTCATTTCAGTCGTTTGAGTTATTGGCCATACTGTATAATATAATTGAAGTGTAAATAAAATTTCTTCTGTATTTAGACATTTATTCATTATCATTTTTGCACTCTTTCTGTAAAGTCTTCATTCCTCAGATAGTAGAGAAGATTTATAGCTTAAGTTGAGGACGATAACTGTTTGGTGTTCTTCCACTTTTGAGGTTTGTACGTGGATGTTTCATCACCAGACTAGGGGGCTTCATCAGCATTTACTTCAATATGAAGTAAACAATCATAGTCTGCATTCCATTCGATTAGGTTTCACTAGTATTCTTCAGTTTCCTATTGATTGATTTCGATAACTGCATCTTTAAATAAGACAAGGTGGTAAAATGGCTTTTTGTAAAGACAAGCAATGGTGTTGCGTAAAATATCAGGTGATCCTTCTTTCTGTGCTACACATATCTACAAGATTACCTTTAAAATATAAGGATTTTTGAATTTAGTATCTGTATACAGAAATCCACTGGCCTAGTGGACAGAACTTTGGTATTCGAAGCGTTGTATAATGGGTTCGAGTTTCAGTGGGAACAACACCACTCACTGAGGTGCAGGTATATCCAGCTGGTGAGTCCCAAATAGGACGAAATGCGCATCTTGGATTCCACTGCTAGGCACCAAGCGGACATCAACATAATCAGTATTTGGTCAGTATTGAGGTATCCTCATAGGAGGTCAACCTTCCAACAGAGGTCGAGGAATTCGACGCAGTATATCAACGGGAAATTGCAAATATCAAACAACTAGAAACCCAGTAGTTTTGAAATTCTTTTTAATTATTCGAAAGCTATGTTGAAAGATCACGTAGAATAGTACATTGTTTCGATTAACCACACTATGCATAGAGGATTAACAAAGGGAAAGAAATAGCAGAATAATTAGAAATGATATGAATGTATTATTTATTTTATTATTAGTCCCTTGGGTTCCCAAGGGGACATAGGGCTTCAGTAGCACGTCTCTAGTGAACTCTGTTCTCTGAAATCTTTTGAACCTGGCTCCACGACAGCCCACAAGCTCTCATTTCCTCCTCGCACGATCCCCTCCATGTCACCCTCACCTCGGACGCCCAACCCGTCGCTTCCCATCAGGGTTCCACTCGAGGGCCTGACGCGTGATGTCTACAGTCGGCCTTCTCAGTGTATGCCCAATTCATCTCCACTTCCTTCCAGTGCATATTTGTTGGGTGATGGGTTCTTGGTTAGTTCGTTCCCAGAGTTCCTTGTTGCTTATTCTTTCTGGCCATCTGATCTTCAGTAGCGAGCGTAAGCGATTGTTGATGAATGTCTGTAGTTTGCTTTCAAACATGGCCATTGAAAGTGGAAGACATGAGAAGGTTACAGGTATTTGACCACCGTTGCCTTCGTAGTATAGGACGTATTCCGTGGTGTCACCATGTGAGTAATGCAGAAGTTAGGTGTAGAGTTTTAGGGAGAAGAGGTAAGTCAGTCGACGAGGTTGTGAACCTTCATCGACTGAGATGGTTGGGACACGTACTACGTATGCCTAGTCACCGATTGCCTCGTCACACAATGTTGGCTGAGGTGGGTTCAGGCTGGAAAAAGGCCCGAGGTGGCCAGACTAAAACATGGCACCAATGTATGAAGTCTCTGACTGTTGGTTTAAGCCATGTAGGACGATGCAGACTAAGTGGTTGGGGTCCACGGGACAAGAGGAACCAGTGGTTGGAGACCCTAGGTGATATGGCTCAGAACCGAAGTCAGTGGCGCAGATGTATACACACATTATCGTCATCTTAACAACGCTATACCGAATCTCACTATTTTGTCACTCCTCTTTCCTTTCTTCTCATACTTTATATTTCTTTTGACTGCATTCACTTATCTTCATCCTTCACCTCACTACCTTTTTACTTGATGTGCTGATATGAGGTGTGGCAACTCGGACCGTTACGCAGTAATGCCTGGTCCTATGTTGATAATGATAATGATGATGTAGTTTGCTGGAAATCGCTTTCGTAACGCGCCAAGTCTCTGGACCATACAGAAGCACTGGCTTGACGTTGGTGTTGAAAATCCGGATCTTGTTTCACATGCTGAGTGCAGTGCGGAAGATCTCCACACTGGTTTCAGGCTAATGAACGCTTGTCTTGCTTCTCTGATTCTGACTTTGACATTCTCGTCTGTGCCGTCTGCAGTTGAAACAGTGCTGCCTAGATAGGTGAAGGAGGCTACTTCCTTTAAGTTTCTCCCGTTGATGGTGATTGGAGTTTATTGTTGCTGTTGGAGTTGTTGATGCAGTATCTTCATCACCTCTGTCTTCTCTATATTCACTTGAAGTCCCGTCTTCGCTGCCTCACCTTTTCTATCAACTTGTTAGTTTTCGCCTGTAGATCTTCAAAATTGTGTGACATCAGACTCAAGTCATCGACAAAATCCAGATCTTCTAGGTTCTTTTCCGCAGTCCAGTGTATCCCCCTCTCCTCGCTCCCCACTGTTTGCTGCATGATACAGTCGACCACAATCAGGAATATCATGGGGGATAGTAGGCAACCTTGTTTCACTCCTGTCTTCACTTCACTGCAAAAGCATCACTGAGCTACCCATTGTGAATTACTTGGCATGTGGCGTCTTCATGTAGTTGTTGAATGAGGCAGATAAAGGTTTGCAGTATTCCGTAGTATTGAAGCAGTTTCCAAATTACTTCTCGGTCGACGCTGTCAAAGGCCTTCTCAAAGTCGATAAAGTTGAGGTAGAGAGTTGACTACCATTCTATACTCTGTTCTATGATGATGCGAAGCGTAGCAATTTAATCCGCACATGATTTTTACTTCCTGGAGCCTGCCTGTTTCGGTCGTAGTTTTGAATCTAGTGCATCCTTTAGCCTCTCCAGGATGATGCGGCTTAATATTTTGCTTGGGGTGGACAGGAGCGTGATTCCACGCTAGTACTTGCAAAGACTTAGGTCATTCACCCTTCTTTGGGAATTTGACAACGTAGCCCTTCTTCCAATCAATAGGCAGGTACCTTCCCTTCCTTCCACACCTTCTGCAATAGTGGTGTGAGCATGTCCACTGTTATCTCTGTGTCTGTTCTCAGTGCTTCTGGCGGGATTACATCTGGTTCTGCTGCTTTCCCACATTTCAGTAGCTTTATGGCGTTCAGGGCTTCCATTTTTGTTAGAGGATTTATGTTCGCTGGCCGTTCTGTGGCTGTAGGTGGTATTTCTGGACGAAGTGCAGGTGGTGATCGATTCAAGAGCTCCTTGAAGTAGTCGGCCCATTGTTTCCTTTGTTTCTCTTCTTTCGTAATTAAATTTCCGTCATCACCTCTTATTGGTTTCGTCTGCGTTGATCTCCTCCCAGATAGCAACCTGGTTATTTGATACAATGTTGTCAGGTCTCTCCTACCAGCTCTCAGCCTGTTCTGCTTCACTTGCCAGTGTTTCGTAGAAGTGTCTTTTGTCTTTGCGTGCACTCTTCTTCACTTCTTTGTCCAGTGTTTTATACATTGTACTCAATTCCTCTTGTCGTTGAGCATCCATGCACTGGTTTATCTTCTGCTTCACCATCCTCCTCTCCTCTATCAGCTTCCATGTATCCATGGAGATCCATTCCTTATCTTCTTTCTTCTTCCTTCCTAATATGGCTGTGAAGGTTTCTTTGCACATCTCTTTAAAAGACTTCCAGTGTTCTTCCACACAGGTTTCTTCAGGGATGTTCCTCGATATCTCCCATTTTGTCTTGATGGCTGCCGTGAAGATTCCCTTTGTAGTTTCATCCTTCAGTTTCCGAGTGTTCTACTTCAACTGCGGTCTATCACCAGCTTCCTTGAAGGCTTTCAACTTGATTTGGAAGGTTCCTTGCACTAGATAGTGAGTGGTCTGAACCTACATCTGCTCCTCTTCTTGACCTTGTGTCAAGTAGACTGCGTCTCCATTTTCTTAAGATTGAGATAAAGTCGATTTGGTTTTTAGTGTGTCCTTCTGGTGAAATCCATGTCGCTTTGTGGATATCCTTGTGCTTGAACACAGTGCCCCCAATCACCAAATCGTTGAATGCACAGAATACTGCAAACAGTTCTCCATTCTCGTTCATCACCTCACCGAGCGCTTCTCGACCCATGGTTAGTTCTCTTCCTACGTTGTCTGCTCCCAGTTTGGCATTCATGTCGCCCATTAGAATTTTGATATCGCCAACTGAGGTCTTGTGCAGTGTTGATTGCAGTTGTCTGTAGAATTCCTCCTTTTTCTCTTGCTCTACATTATTTGTAGGTGCATAGCATTGTATGATTGTGACCTTCCTTCCTTTTGAGTTGAACCTTGCTGTCATGATCCTGGAGGAGATTGGTTCCCACTGCATGAGAGCCTTCGATGCTGTTGGGGACATCATGATAGCCACTCCCTCAGTGTGCTCGTGGTTGTCGTCTGGGTGACAGTAACGGAGTAGATTATTGATTCTCCAGTTGACAGTTTGGAGAGTCCACTCCCATTCCATCTGCCTTCGCAAATTCCAAGCACTTCAATGTGATACCTTCTCATCTCTTTTGAAATCTGGGCTGCCTTGCTGGGTTCAAACTTCGTGCGGACATTCCATGTCCCCACGTTTACTTTCGCTTTCATCGAGAGAAGACACATCGGCCAATTTGCTTCCCGAAGGCTTTCACCAACTGGCGTCATTTCGCCTCTCCGATTTCAGCGAGGAATAATTTTGTTATTATTTTTTATATATCGTTTGTGCTTTGAAGTTTCTTTAGCGATTAGATTTGTTTTACGGGATAGGGTTGCTAGCTCTATGCCCAACCTTCCCTCTTTACCCGGGCTTAGGACCGGGTAGTAGCTAGTGAACTTGTTAACCAGGCGATTTTGATATGAATGTACAGGAAGTAAATGAAAATGTGGTTTGTACCTGCGATATCCCATTGTCTTGTT